TTGTCGAAGATTGACTATGGCTTACCAATATACGGAAATAGTGCAAAGAGTAATATAAAACTGATCTCTTCGACGTATCATGCAGCCGTTCGAAGGAGTATAYRCGCCTTTCCAACATCCCCGATTCAATGCATCTTAGCCGAAGCTAGGATGCCTACCTTACAAGAAAGAATTGAATATACCGCTATGAGGATTATCCCAAAGACCTTTCTCTGCAGAAATAGTTATATTTATGACACTATCACAACGATATGGGCCGCTAGTAAAACCCCAAGACGCACGCCAACATTACACAGAGTGCTGGAATACGCTAAAATTTTAGGAATAGACTCGAAACCATCTGCCTCTCGTCAGCTCACCACCTTGGGACTTAAGCTACTCATCTTTCCTTATCGGTTTAACAAATCACGCCAAGTCAACCACAAGCCCAACAGTATTCCAACGCCTTTTTTGAAGAATACATAGCTCCTTTTCGGGACGAATGGAAAATGTACTATACCGATGGGTCAAAGTCGAAGGACCACACGTCATTCGCTGTGGTCCAAGCCGATGGSAAAACAGTAATAGCAGGGTATCTACCAAATTATGGATCAGTGTATACGGCAGAGGCGGTTGCAGTATACAACGCAATACTAGCAGCCTCAGAATCTAACGACAAGACGATAATCTGCACAGACAGTATGTCAACTATTGCTASTATCATGAATATTACTAACAAGGTACCCCTAATCGCTGAAATACGCACCAAACTTATACGAAAAGCCACAGAAATCAAAATTATGTGGATTCCTGGTCACGCAGGAATTATTGGCAACGAATTAGTGGATCTGAAAGCAAAATCCGTAGCTATGGAGCCATTATTTACTTTCAATTATATGGTGAGGAAGAATATCTTCCTACTCGTCAATTACTTCCTTAAAGAACAGAAAACAAATTCTTGGAACAGTGTGCAAAACTATTACTCGAACTTCAATACAACTGGCTTTGATGACCAACCCATTTCAAATACGCTCAAGGCTTTTTCTGAAGAAAACATCCACAAGGTAAGGTAGCCGAATTTTTGTAGAAAACTGGCCTTAGAAAGTTAATTTAATTCCCTATTTGTAATTTATCTTAGATCCAAATAACTTCTTTACTAACATCGATTATTTTAATAATTGTACTGACAGTAATATTGATCTCATATTTACCTTTTACTGGCTAATATATTAATATTCTAAGACAATATAGTTTTATTAGAGCAGTAAGCCGTAAGCCCTGGCAGCTAATGCTTCTTACTGCTTTCTTACTTAAGATAATAATTGTATTATTATTTTTCATTTAATAAATAAATAAATAAATAAACATGTTATAATTTTCAATTAGTGAAGATATTTCAACGGGCAACCGGCGTTTCAGATTTCTTTTTTGTATCCTTCCTTTTCACAAGAGCTACGTTATTATTATTTATAAACTGGCATATACCATCTCGATTCATATCTTTATCCAGAGGGAATTTAACACATTTAGGTATCCTTTTTGCCATTATTGCACCAGTTGCAGTATAATTCATTTGGTAAAGCGATTCTACGAGTTTTATTGTAGTAAAAAACCTGTCGAAATATATTTGGCTGCTTTTCGGTAAGTTGTTTTATTCGTCGCATAACTATAGATGGCCCATGTCCAAGACCGCAGTCTTCAAATGTCCCTGCCCCTTGGAAGACTTCAAAATCTACTACAATGCCTGTAGAAGTTGCGCATACAAGATTTTTTAATCCAATAGGCTGGTGTTTTGATCTGATTACCTGCCGAGTAGGGAATCTTCCAGTGAATGGTATCATTTGCTCGTATCATCGAGTAGTTTGTGATATCAGTTGCCAATTCAATGCAGCGCTTCCTAATCATGTCTATGATGGGTTGAACTATCGGTATCGGCTGTTACATAACGCGCCTCTTGGCCAGGATTAGCCAAGACGCACTTTTTGGTAAATTTCACCACATTCTCATAGTGGTATTCCGGAAAATAATTAATTAAGTATTCTAAAGGTGTCTTCACCCTTATTTGATTTTAACAACCATAACTTAAAGGAAGTTGTGTGTTCGGAAAGGGTGCATTTTCCAAATTTCTCTCCTGGGGTGGGGTTTAGGTATAGCGTTCGGTGACGGTTATATGACCGCTGGGCCCGCGAAGTTTGATTGTTGAGCTTCTGGATCCCCTTCATTGTCATCTGTACTTTTATCGCTTTCTTCTCCACCAGCGTTTACGTTAAACGGAGTCCAAGTTTCATCTATATTGTCATCATCATCACKGAAGTCTATATCAGATGAATCTAAAATATCTAGGACTGCTTCAACGTCATCGCTGTTGCCCAAATCGAAAAATCTTCCTAGAAATTGGGAAGATAACACATTTGTGAGCATGTAACGAAACTGTACTCTGTGCCTGATAACACAATTATGATATTTGTATTTTACTGCCCTCCAATTACTAATAACTATCAGCAAATTAATTTAAATGAGCACAATCACCTGAGAAATTTTATGGTAACTTCACTCACTATCATAATTTTAGTTTTATATGCTTAAAAAGAATAAAAACACTCACCACTTGGACGCATCAATTTCCAGTTCTTCCAGCTGAGAGAATAACTATTCATAACAGTTGGGGTGCCATATATAATAAAGTTGAAGTTTATACTCGACCCAGAATGTCTGTGAACATTTTGATTTACCGGTATTTACTCCAATAGGCGAGAATAGATAGCACGAATACAAGCAACAGGGATAAAAGAGGTAATAGTGGTACTCATATGGCATTTATTGCAAATTTCGCAAAATGGCAATATCGGAAAACACCTGTTCATTTTTACAAGCAAATTTATTTTGCGGCAAGAATGCAACTCTGCGAGACTATTATCAGTAAAATTACATTCATCTTTTTATTCTTTTCTCGCGTTTTGATTTCTCCGCAGTAATATGAAAAATGTAAGTATATTTAAATATAATATTATTTTAAAATTAATTAATTAAATATTTATAGAAAATAGATGGCGGATAAACAGAGAGTTTAGGTGGACGGAGCAGCAAACAACAAACCCGGTCACAATTGTTTTGGACAATATAAAGGGTAATCCTGACCAATTAAATTTTTTTTTAAACTTATTTATTCACAATCTTTTCAGTCGTCATTATGTGAATTAAATGCAAATTTAATATTAAATGCAAATTTAATATTTAATATTATTAGAAGAAGACCATAACTCTTCCGCAGAATCTTTCTTTCGAAAACTCTTAGCACCGACTCATCGAATGTTGTCATTGTCTGTACCTCTGCACCATATAGCAAGACAAGTGTGAAGTTGAACCCGTTAGTAAGAGTTATTCTGCGTTGGATTTTGAGGCTAACATAGATGTTGGTGTTAACATTGGTTCCAAGATAGACGAAATAAGTTCTAAGTTCTGACTCCCAACGATGACGTAGGAGCCAAGTCGCAAGTCCGACGAGTGTTTGTTCCATTACAGGAACCATTGTTCACCACTAAACCAATTTGCTTCGCTTCCTTATCTGGTCTGGAGAAAGTAGAATTCACCACTAACACTAAGGCTAATGATATCAATACCATCGGCGGTCGCCAGTAGCTGTACACTCTTATAGAAGATGTTACCTGCTCTATTGAGTTCTGCTGCTCGAATTATTTTCTCAAGGAGTGGATTGAAGAAGTCACACGATAGGAAGTCGCGTTATCTGAAACCTTGTTTGGCATTGAAAGGCTCGAAGAGATTCTTCCCGATCCTAATAGTGTTTTTTGATTATGGTCTTTAATATTTCACACAGTGTGCTCGATAGAACCTTATATGCGATGTTGAGAAAGTTTATACCCTAACGGGGAATTGCTGTTCGAGCTTCTTCATGTTCGAGAGGTTCTATCGTCATCATTTGGAGGTTCGGGACCACCATCTCCTGGTGCTAAGTTTTCGTTGCCATTTATTAGGTTTGAGAAGTGCTTTCTCCAAAGTTTTAGTATGCTGTTCGTATCGGGCATCAGTCGCCAGATCACTTCTGGGGGTGCTACAGGAGAATGCTCTGGTCTTAAAACCTGGCATTTTTTCGTAAAAACTTTGAGCATTACCCCTCTTGACCAGCATGTCAACCTCTCTATACTCATGCATTTCGGGATCTCTTTTTTGTCTGCAAATGCGTCCCTCTTCCCTTTTGGAATCATGGCGGGGCAGATCTCATAGGTGCGCTCTAAACCCCGCGCACAGAAGACATTTGTGTTCACTTCTTCCCTCACTTCCCGCGGAATTGGGCGCAAATGAGCGATATGCTGAAGAACTTCGCTTTGACGCGGGTTGAATGTCATGACTCGGCGACAGAGTCTCTCTCCCACCACGAATCCCACACCAAATTTGAACTCCTTTATATGGCCAATGTACTATATGTCACAAGGACCTACTCGTTTCAGTCTTTGTCTCCTCCATCGCACTTCTTGGACGGCGGTGATGTCAGCCTTTACGCTAACGAGGGAATCAACCAGTTGGGCAGAGGAACTTTCCCAATTAAGGGAGCCTCAAATTGTAATCCTTAATGCGTTTGCAGTGGTCGTAATTAAAAAGAGGTCTCTCATTCGACATTGCTGTTTTCCTTTTAATTGGGGTTACGTTGCAGGTTCGAAAACGAGCGCACAACCCTGGGGACGTTTCGCCTTCTCTATTTAGCTCAACTTGAAACGGATGTGATCTAAGACTTGATGTATTGAGCTGCTCTTTTGATTTTTATAAATTTGGGCATTGGCCATAAATCAGGGCACATTAACGATAGGTCGAAGAGTCTTGGACTGATATCGTTGAAAAGAAATATCAATGTTTGATTGACTTGTGGCACTTCATAATCGGTCCATATAGGCTTTAAAAAATGGGAAAAACAGTGTTGCGGAATGAATGAATGATGAGGAAGCGAAATCGAGCTTAGACACATGTTTAGACTTATGTTCTACCAGTCCAGTGCACAGTCCGTCTGATATATTTCCTGTACTTGATAATCAGTAGATAGATAGATAGATAAATTAATATTGCACTGCGACCTAGGGTCTAGTGTTCCCTCTCCTAACTCACAGCGTCTCAACTAGCCCCAGAAAATTGTTGAATTCCAATATACTGCTAGGTGCTAATGAGGCTATGTGTACAGACTGCTGTGCAATCCATTAGCAGGTGCTCTGGAGTTTCGGATTCCAAGTCACAGAACCCGCAATTTGCATAAGAAGCTAGGCCCATGTTGAATAAGTGCGTCTTGAGTTTGCAATACCGGTGTAGAAGGCGACCAGTAGTCTGACTTTATCTCTTGGTAGATTGATTATAAATTTAAACCATTTGAGGTTATAACCATTCATTACCAACTTTGCGTGACACAAGTCTGGAAGTTGTTGCCAATTTCTCTCCCTACCCACTGCTTCATCCTTGCGGAACTGTTCTTTTATAGTATAGGGACTTACCGTTTTGAAAGGTGCCGGTCCTACCATGCTGGTGGTTACTGCAGAGCGGGCAACCTCATCGGCCAGTTCGTTTCAGGCGATGCCTTTGTGACCTGGCACCAAAATAAGATGCACTTGGTTGCATTATGCCAGACTATTCAGCCGGTCTGCACCAATAGCGATTTTAACAGGTATGACAAGATCGCCTTGAGTGCCGCTTGGTTATCGCTTAGTATAGTTATACGTTCGTTGCGATAGCCGCATTGGAGGTTTAACTCTACGCACCGACCTATAGCAAATATCTCCGCTTGGAATATGCTCGGAAACCTACCCATAGGTATGGAGAGTTTTGTACGTGGTCCTGCGACCCCTGCGCCAATTCCCTCCGACGTTTTCGAGCCGTCGGTGTACCACCTGATCAAGACATCCCTGAGTAGTAGCTCGAGAGCGGAGTCGCTCCATTCGGCCTTGTTGCCGAGGGTGATCTTAAACTTCTTAGCGAAGTGCACCTTTTTGGTAATGCTGTCCCTAAAAAGAAGGGCCAGGGATATGATGCCGCTTATCTCTTCCATGCGTTGGGACGAGATCACTTTACCTTTGCCGGTCCCCTCTGCTGTCATTTGAAGCAGAGTGTGTTTGGCGACTTGACCAATTACTAGGTATAGCGAGGTGAGTTCCAGCAAGGCCTCAAGTGCAGCTGTAGTGGTCGGCTTCACTGATGGGACTTCCACTGTGGTTTTCGCAGTTGCAACCTGCTCGGCTGACACGATGCTGGGACGAGTAGCCTCCTCGTCCACCTGCATCTTCTCGCCTTCTTTTCCGGTTGTCTTCGGTTTGTAGGGCCTCATGACTACTGTACTAAACCGATAGCTCATACGGAAGCCCTCATTCCGGATGAATTTGTAGGACTCGTCATCCACGCACCAAGTACAACCTTCATCCTCCATTTTGCTGTCGACCACCCGCCAGGCCGAGGTACTGATCCCTCTGTTTTGGTTCCTAACGAGTCCCAAAGCAAACTCGTAGGGTTTCCCCTCGCATCTTGGGAGGAGTACCGTCACACAATGCGTGATCGGGATGTCCTCCCCCCTCCTGATACAAAGAATGGATCCTTTTCAGCCAGTTAGCTTGGGACCGAGGGAGCACAGCCATCCGCTTTAAGGCATCCGCAGAGAGCTGGCCACCAGCTCCCTGGGCGTAGTTGCCCCGTTGTCTCTTGGAGTTTGGTGGCTCCTGTGGCGTGATTTGGCTACTATTGCGTTTGGCTGCCGGGGTTGCCGTCTTTAGGCTACCAGTCTTAGCGGCTGGATTTGCGCTGACATGACCGCTGTTCCGAACTCCGTTACTCCTTTTACCGTTGGATACGGTATTTGCGCCCTTACGCACCTTCCAGGCCGGGGAGATACTGTTGCCTCTGACCCTGTTCCTCACTAGCTTTTCGGCTTCCTCGGGAGTTCCGCCGCGCCAGAGCCCCATGACGCGTTAAGGCCACCGTTACTTTCCAATTCGGTCCGGTGTTGGGAAGGCTCCGTTAAAATACAGTCGAATTTACCTTCTGGCTGCAAATCATCCAAGCAATCATCCAATGGTCATGGGAGTCGCATAACACCCTGGATTAGGAGGTGGTAGCTCTTGGTTGCCGCAGAAGAAAACGAATCGAAGTAGAAAAAATCCGATTGAAGCATGGACGATTAAAAAGATGAAACAAGTCATAATTAGCTGAAATGTGTTATAGTTTTATCTTCTATCTCGAACCTTAGTTTTTGAAGTCTGAAAATGTTTTTCTCTTTTTAAACTTTGTAATCGTTTTGTTTTTATATATGTTCATTTGTATGCGTTTTTTTTTTGCTAAAGGTGACTGACCTACGTTGTCCACATGAAAAAAATTGTATTTTGTTAATATTCTCATTCTTTTCAGTTAAATTAATTTCAGTTTATTTTTTATAAACGCATGTTTTATTATATAAGAATTACTGTATGTATAGAATATGCATTTGTATGTCTACGTACAGAAATTGAATTTAAATTGAAAAAATAAAAAAACTGAATTTTCTGTATGATTTTGTTTATTTGTTACTTGAATAATTAACAGTTCAAAGGTTGTTCGTCGCCCTACCCCTACCTAATAACTCTTCAATTTCGTGACGAATCTTTCCTTCAACATTCCAAAACAGTGTTCAATGGCAATTCTATGGCGACTGAATGAAAATTAGCTTTGTTATAAGATTTATAGTTATTGAAATGCTATTAAATTTATCAGTGCTACCAATCATATTGTGTCATTAAATTCGGGGAAGTTTGAAAAAAGTTACAGCTGTTCAGAAATGGGTGAAAATAGTGAAGAAATTCTCTATATTTTGAAATTTTTCTATAAAAAAGGGAAGAATGCTATGCTTCTTCACTATGTGAAGAAATTCTCTATATTTTGAAATTTTTCTATAAAAATGGCAAAAAATGGTCGACCAAAATGGTACATATCTGTTTATGTATTTATTGATATAAATACAAAAAAATGTAAAAAAATAAATTGAGGTTTGAATACGAAAAGACTTTTTTGACTACCCAATATATGCACTATCACTTGCAATCCATTCACCATCCTTTATTTGATAATTCGCAATTATTAAAAATACATATATATGTGCACGAAGAAATTCGTTA